CATCACTAGCAGTGTCCCTTGTCTCACCCCGTGGCACCTATGGTACTGTTGTTGACGTGGGCTGTCCGTTTGTGTTTTCAATCTCAAATCAATGTGCTCCAGATAGCTTTGTGTAAAGCTAAATGGTGCTCCACCACTTTCGATTGTGTTAGTTAACCGCATCGTCATACATTATTGCATTTGTAGATATTTGTAGAACATTTGTTCCTTCAACTTCCTACAGACAAGGAAATACGATGAAATACACATGATTCTGACATCCCAAACGATCACTGACCTCAGGAACTGCACACTCTCCTCCTCGCAGCAGTGAGCGTTCGCCAAAATGGCCTGGTGCACCGGTCTTTAGGACTCCAGGCTTCAAAACAAGGACCGCGGTTTGCAGCTGGACACTGGTTTGCTCACGTTCCAACCAGCAGCTGGTGGAAATGCGACCAGTGTGTCGGTCAGTGGGCAGGTCAGCACATGTCAGGCCTGGGCGACGCAGTTCAGAAAGCCGGTGCACCGTCTCCTGAAATGACAGCAGCTCTCAAGAAAGTCAACTGCTCACAACAAATTGGCCCCTCCGTGGTCAGTGAGGCTCTAAACTGTCGGACAAAAGCTGTCTCCAACCACGATGGTGCCTTGCCCAATGAAATCTGCTTGGCCGAAACCACCTCGGTCGAGCCACAGCCAGAACAAATATTGCTAAAGAATTGAGAATGACTGAATGAAGCTGCTGCTGCTGGTGCTGCTGCTGCTGCTGCTGCTGCAGACCCTTCCCTTGGCAGTACCACCTCTTCTGTTTCACGCATTTCTGGGGCTGCCAGCGCAACTTCCAGAGACAATGATATACCAAAGAGCAGCCTGAGACTCATTCCAAATCAGATATAGTTATATGCTGATGGTCTAGGCTCCAGCCAGCCCAAAGGCTGATGAGCTCGAGCAATCAAGACTTTGGAGTTCGTAGCCACAATCCGTCGAGTAAGAACAACATCAAACGACAAAATAGTCTCTGATCGCAAACTGTGAAGATTCATCCAAGTCTATCAGTGCCTACCCACCCACACGAGCCTTGCGCTGCACGCCCTGGGTGATGATGCGCTCTCCAGGCCTACAGTGGCATTTGTCACCCAATTTGGTTGCCCTCTTTTGGACACATCAATATCATCAAAGGTTCAACTAGGTTCAAATGATGCCTGATGCTTTGACAACTCTCTCAACCTGATTGCAATCACAGCTCTCGCCTGAACGTGAAAAGACCCAAAGCATTGCAGGCCAATTCCCAGCCTCAGCCAATTTCGCGCGTTCCGCTCCGCGGTACCCCAATCCAAGTTCCGCACGTTCCGCTTGGAGAAGGGGCCAAAGCACTGGCACCTGTCAGACAATAGCTTGTTTCGGACTCTGTGGAACAAGCTCTATCAGGAAACTGTTGTCTCATGTGCAAAGAACAACAACTTGAAGCAATAGCCCGGAAGACCGAAGGCATACTGCAAGCTATGTTTGACTGGGCGATGTTCCATGAAGAAACTGCCGTTGCATGCCGTTGCAGTGTGAAACCTAGGAAAAACGAGGCTCAGAAATTTTCACAACTTTGAGAAAGTGCTATGACAATGTGACTGCGGCTGCTCCTACCACGCAGAGCAAACGAAAATGACCGTGGCAAGTAGGTCTGTCAGAAGTTTCCCACTGGCAGTCCTCATCCAGAAGCGAACAATACTCCTCAGGTCGGAGGATTGACTCTCATCCTCAAATTTCTGTGAGTTGAGTTGTGTGTCAGAAGTCTGTAAACTTGGTTTGTGTCTGTCATTTGTATTTGCATACACATTGAGTGGGCACCCTGGCTTGCAAAGGCTTGATTCGACTCAGTCGATAGTCCATGGTCAGGACATCATCACCTTCCTAGCTCCACAGTACAATGCATGTCCCACCTTGCTTGGCCAATGCCTTGTGCCAACCAACACCACAATGCACTTCTGGCATGAAGAACATGCCCACAAGGAAAGGCATGGTCCGCGAAGAAGGTTCCTTGAAATGATGCCCTTTGCGGTTGAAGTGAGCTTTGAAGTGCCTGGCCGCGGGGCCCACACGCACAGTCCACCGTTTTCTTCTCTTGCAAAAGGACGAAGCAAGGTTTGCAAAACGCTTAAAAAGAAACATCGTCTGACATTGTGCCTGTTACGTTTGTCTAGAAGTGTTTGTTTGGACTGTGCCTAGCAGACTGTGGGATCTTCTTTTGCAAATCACTATCGCACCTCTTCACCACTTCCAGTGCATTTTGGCTCATCGGGTAGGTCAAATGCACAGGATAATCATGAAATCTTACAGCAAGTTGAAGTCTTATTGGCAATCTGCTGGCCAGGACTCTTTTGAAACTAAATAAAGTCCTGGTACTTCTGTACAAGTGCTCTAAAGCCATGTCTTTTGCTGGATCATCCCGCTCTGATCGGTGTAAACCCCGACATTCTTCTATTGGATGGAGGCGTGACTTTGTACCAGAACATTTGCAAACCCACAAAAGCGTGAAACACCTCTCTGCTTCCCTTCCGCTTGCAACCTCCGCGAGATGACGTACACCTGGCAAGGCGTGAGAAGTGTCGGATTCATTTTGATCCAAGGTGTATTGAAGAGCGTCTTAGAACACTTTTGCTACTATGAGTAAACCCAAAACCCAGAAACTGGAGAGAGCTTCTGAAGGTTGTGGGAAAGTAGTTTTGGAGGAAAATCACACCTTGAGAAAGGCAGGGTCGACGAAGGTTGGTAAGGCAAAGTTATGGTGGCGTACGCAGGACGGAAAGAGCCCGCTCACAAAAAAGACAATAGAGGAACAATGCAACGTCCTGGTTAGCCCTCCCAATGGCTCCGCAAACGTGCAAAGCCTTTTTTCGCTTGTTGAAGTCTTGTGCCAAGCTTCCGACCGCATCCCACCGACATTTCCGCGTGCTCGCCATGAACATGGATGCTTAAGCATAGTCCGCAATTTTTGGGCTGACACCTCGTTGAAGCCGTTTGCATGGATTTGTCCAGGCAACTGCTTCGCAATCCACTTCCACGCACAGTGAGTTCTCTGTGTTCCGCAGCAACAGTGTTTCATTTCATGGTCGGAAAACCTGAACTTCTGCCACCCCCCCACACACGACGTGCACATCCGCAGCCTGCTTGGCGAAGCAGCCACAACGAGCACTATCATCCCGCCCCCCCGACCCGAGCCCCACCCCCAGCAATGCGACACCCAAGACACCCACAACGTGCAAGTCCGCGACACTACATAAAGCGGCTTGCGCTTCAGAGAATGCGTGCAAAAGATGCACACGATCTGTTTTTTTTGCGTGCTCGCTTATCCAGTCGTGCTGATCTGTGATCAAAGCCGGGTGCTTTCTATAGATGCGCAGGCGTGGCTGGATGGGCGACTGGTGCGCAGCCACAAAGCGATGATGGTGCAGCGCATGCCTTCCTGCGATGTGACCTCTGCTGGTTGTGCCTAACCGCTCCTACTGGCCCATTTCAGGGTAAGATGGCAACAAGAACAAAGAACTTGTTTGCTTAAGCTAAACTGTGCCTGCCGACAGCTTCCATCAAATCGTCGCCTCCGAATCTTTCACAGCTTTGAACGTGGCCTGCCAGGATGGAAACATCATTCACTGTTAAGTTCCTAAAGACCTGTCGTGCCCTTGTTTCAAATGAGCTCATTGAGCATGCGGACTTCAGAAACCCATACATCTGCTTATATACAGTAAACATACCTTGAAAAAAATACTAGATCCGCGGAAAAGAATGGTTATATACATGGAGAGCATGCTACAGACAGCATCTTGCGTTTCAGCAGCTGCTGCTACAAGGGGCGGAATCATTCCTTTCAATCTAGTGTGGGTGTCAGTCTCATCTTCCACACCGCACACCCTTCCAGTGGGCGAAGCTCAACAATACACAAACACTGGTGGTATCTGTGGAGGGAAATTCATATGAACATCCCTTCAGGACCTGGACCTGCACTGAGTTTCTACTGAGGAGGTTTGCCTGATTTTGTTATGCCGTTATGCTTTAGAACTCCAAGATCTGCTAGTGGAATGGCCATCTGAATTGAGTTTAGCAAACCCCCTTCGCCTCACGGAAAGTGTTGTAAATCAAAGACCTCAGCACCAATGACTGGCAAAGATGTATGTAGAGGAGGCTAAATCCCTGAGCGCTGGGTGACCGGGCAACTCGCCAAAGCTGTCGCCAGAGCCGAGCTCTGCAATCAGGTCCTGGGCAGTGATTCACGGGAATCAATGGCTAAGAGATTCTGAAAGTTTCGCGATGTGCAACCATTCTTGTGCAATTCGTGGAGCCAGCCAAACCATATAGAGGCAGGCGTTCTTCAAAGTGCTCTCGACACTGAAGAAAAGCAGCAAGAACTGTTGACTCGCAAGACCACCCGCTTGTGCTACCCCCGAAAGTCCGAGCAATTCAGACAAGCAAGCAAATTGAGCAATTGAGACAAGGACTTACAGTACATTCATGTTGTAAAGTGGGGAAGAGAACGAATCCTCTCCAACAAACGTCAAACCATCAGCTGCCCTGCGCACCGGATCATCGGCGAGGCACAACATCTCGGGGTCGACCTGGGCTCTGGATCTGGAGAGTTCCTAATAGCTTCTTGTTCTTAGTAGTAAGGCCAGGAGCCCCTGGTAGCGTCCTTGCTCCTAGTACCGATGCCAGGAGCCCCTAGTAGCGTCCTTGCACCGATGCCAGGAGCCCCTAGCAGCGTCCTTGCTCCTAGTACCGATGCCAGGAGCCCCTAGTAGCGTCCTTGCTCCTGTACCGATGCCAGGAGCCCCTAGTAGCGTCCTTGCTCCTAGTACCGA